GACAAGACCACATTTTTGCCCCAGCACTTATCCCTCGAAACTGTGAAACTGTGCACCAGCCTATATTTTCCACCCTTTCCTAACACAGCAACCCATCCTCCGTTCCCCTGTCTCCTAACAACTCAACCGAGCCAGCACAACAGGATAACGCTTCCGATACTCTTGGCACTATCCTTTACGTAGCCTCAGTGGCGGTCTCGTGTCAGTTTTCGTCTGCTGATAATCCTCGGAGTCATAGAAAACATAGATTTCCTTCGGTAGTCATTGAAGGCTACAGGACTTATCGGCTCACAAGCCGTCACACCATGCTATCTCTCGAGCTTCAACCCAAGAATAGAGGAGGAGGACAAGGCAGCCCGGCTCTTGCAAAGTGTGCAAGCATCAGATATTTGTGCCTACCCGGATGGGTTGTTGAAGGGGCATAGTCGCTCAGCAGGGGGTTCGTCTTGCAGAGTGGTGGAAAACTCTATAAAAGGGATCTGTGTGTTTGTGTTTATTGTACTGCTTGAATCTATGACTATCTAGTACATTGGGCTCCTCTCTGACCCAGGCCACACCTTGTAGGGTGCTCCTATCCTCTTTTGTTACTTGAAAGATCACTGATATATTCCCCCTGATGAATAGCCATTCAGCTCAGTGTTTACCCGTGGAATTCGGCAACCTTTTCCACGGAACCTTCTACCCAAAAAAAAATGGTAGCAATGGAAACTGCGTGCGCGGGAAAAAGTCTCAAAAAACCTACAGCTTGGACAAACGAGTGAAGAGGTCACAAATAGGCATTCTCGAACGCACATTTTTCGAATGTTTTCGACTTAAGTGTGTCTGTGGGTGCAGAAGCAACGATTTTGGATAGTGCGACCGACACTCTAAAATTAAGCAACGATGGAAGGTGTTTTTGTCGGCCTCCTGGTCGTCATCTCCCCGAATTAAAGTCTGGGTAACCTGGACACGTACCTCACTCGAGAAAGGGAAGACTGTGAGGCCATTTCTCGCGCGACGGCTATATACAAGTTGGCAAAGGCATGTTAGGGTAGCCAAGGGTTTTTCCTGTTTTCCCTTTGGTGGATATTAACGGTGGAGGGAAGGATGAAAGTCCCTAGCATCAAGGTCTCGAGTGATATCAGCAAATGCACCCTCTAAATGAGTGGTCCAAATATCAAAATAAGTTAACGCCGTATATAGTCGTCGAGTAAGGAGCAGCCTTCTCAGTGTCATGCTCTATGAGTGCTAGGCTTGTGCCCGTCAGGAATATTCGTTCATTCTAGATAGAAATCGGCGTAACATTAAGTACAGTTTCAGTGCCATCAATCCATCTATAATGAGAAGAAGAGGTTGATTGATATTGCAGCGAATTTTGAATCATAACCTCGAGGGCTGACTTCTTTGGTACTGCGAAATTTGACCAAACTTGGCTCTGGGATAATTTTTCACTACCAGATTCGTCAATTATATTGCGAACAGTTGTTCAGTTATTATCCTCCAAGAAGCCAGTTAAGTAAGAGTAGAAGAGGATAAATTTTGATACTTTCTCAAGTAAGATTTAAGTAATATAATCAGACATTAAAGTGAATTAGGTTTGTGATTTGAATTTGATTTCAATTAACCCGATCAGGCACCCTATGGGTCCATGCAGGTGACTATCTTCATTGTTTACAGAGGAGGATACCAATTTGGTGAAAACCGCCTGATCCTGTATTTTTATATTCCTATCAATTTGTTTAGTTTACCTTCAGGAAGTGCAGTGTACACTGTTCAGCCAGTGTGGATTCCGTCCTCTCCCCTTCCAGATCTATTTACTTTATCCGACATTACTACCTCGACTTCCCCTGCAAGTCGATATTGTTTTATCCATCCTTTGCTTAGTATCCACTGTGTGATTCTAGCCACGTTTTCTGGGTTGTTCATCATGGCTTCAAATGACCCTTTTAGTTCGTCGGAGAAAGTCGCATCTTCCATTTGCCCACTGCGGACACGCCAACACCATGTGCTTGACGTTTTGCGACGGATATCCACATTGACAGCTTGGCTTTTCTACTCCGGCAACTTTTCTTCTACACAGGTAAGAATTGAGTCCGATACGCTCGCTTCTTAGCTGAGTGGCGACACTGCTTTGGGCCCTGGTCAGGTTACGGTGGATTTTTAAGGGTATATCTTTGAAATTCATTTTGATGCTGCCTGTTTGTTCATCAGTAAATATAGTTGCCGCTTTTCAATTTTCTGGATCGGCTGATGCTGGTCGGCCAGGGCGCTGTTTCCTGATCTGGCTTGTCAATGAATTCTTCCACCCCTGAAAGGCCACTATCTTTTTAGCTTCTTTCTGCCTCCCCTTCTCATTTTCCCTTCCGTAAGTTCTTGTCCATTCGGAGATATCTTTAATGTTGTTCAATGCATGCGGGGTTTATCTCCCGTTTGCGGCCAGCTTTATCCTCTTACATGTTCATCGAATTGTCAGTTAAATTGGGAGTTTATGTGATAGTCCGGCGTACTGGACCCGTAGTTTTGTAATGTTCACTGTATATAGATGCAAGAACGGCCTGCAAGTCACAAGTCACGATGCCAGAGTGGTTAATGGGTTAGACTTGAATAGCCGCAAGCTTGAAAGGCATCTAATGGCTTCGGCCGCGTAGGTTCAAATCCTGCTCGTGACGACCCGTTCAGATCCGTTCCACTTGGGCAATAGGGTTCCGGCTGATAACTTTTACCGACACTTATGTCAGTTTATTTCATTTTTCTATATGTAATTATCTAGATACTATACATAAACACTGCTTTAAGTACATAATTAATGCCACCCAATTCTTTACTTGCTTGAAGTGAATACAGTCAAGAATTGATGTAATCTCTATTAGTATAATCTATTCTCAGTTTTAAAAACTCACTCAGAAAGCCAATACTTACCACCCGCAAGTTGCCTTTTCCAGAAGCCTACAACTAAAATTCTCTCCCCTAGATGTGTTCAGTTGAATCCGGCGACAGTGAAGAAATAACCGAGGCTTTTGTTCATGATACCTATTAAAACTATCTCCCACTTAAAATAAGATTGATTCCAACAATAGCATGAAGCTTACAAGTACTACATAGTGCTTTCTCGATTGAGTAATCTCAGCCGGCCTTCAAGTATTCGCCCACTGTAACTTAAATACTCGCAGGAAAAGGACGGATGGACGGATGGATGGATGGATAGATGAATGGTATTTTGTTTATTTTACTAGTTGAGTCAAAGACTATTTGGGAAATTGGGCTCCTTCCTGACCCAGGCCACACCTTGTACAGTGCTCCTATCCTCTTTTGTTACTTGAAAGATCATTGATATATTGCCCGTGATGAATTGTCATTTTGCTCAGTGTTTAGCCGTGGAATTCGGCCACCTTTTCCACAGAACCTTCTACCCAAAAACAAAAAAAAAAACAAAAAAAAGGTAGGAATGGAAACCGCGTGCACAGGAAAAAGTCTCAAAAAAAACTTGCAGCCCCAGCCAAGCGAGGCCTAGACACTGGGACCACATGAGGTGCGCATATTCATCTACATCTTTCTTCTTTGTAACATTCGAGGCCATCTTGGTCCAATCCACTATCGCTGTATCTGGTGCTAGGTATGCTACGGAAACACATTGCATGGCTTCTTTTCCACAGCTTAGGGCGAATGATGAGGAGGGCTTCAAAGCTACCGTCTGATCTGATTATGATTAGCATCATGATAATAGTGACAGGGGGTTGTACAGACAGATGAAGAAGATATAGATTGCGACAGCAAAAGCGATTGGGAATCCTCGTCGGAGTGAGGAAGAAGAGGCTACTTAATCTCGGCTCTGCAGAATCTAAAGTGATAGCTAGAGGCTCATAGGGGTTGCCTCAAATAAATATTGAGATTTTGTCACTCTAACTTCGTAAGAGGCACTGCACAGCAAATGCATGTGTTACTTAAATCTGGATTCATCTGATATGTCATAATAATGATATAATATGGGTTTAGCGATAGGCTCAAATCAAGAGAATGCGTTCCTCGTATCAACTCTATTTTAAAAGTGACCATTTGTCTTTTACAGCTCAGTGATACTCGATGAATAAAGCGACGGAAGCAAAACTCTTAAATATCTTGACAGATAATCCTTGCGACTTCATGCATGTATTTTTCTGGACGCTGGCTGACACCTGAAATGTACTGTCAGGACAGATCTCATAATGGTATCGGTCACATAACCAGTTACTCAAAATTTAGTATTCTTTCTACTAAGACATGATCTATTGATCATAAATATTTGAAATATCTCTTTGGTATTGCCATGTTACTTATAAAGATGACTTAATATTCCTTCATGACTGAATTTGGCTCGGAATATATGGTATAGTTCTCTTTACTATAACTCTTGCTCTAAATGTGGCCACTGAGTTTCTGTCCTGATTCGATGAACAGTGCACAGTTCCAGTTCACGTTTTGGGCCAGGCTTTTGTACTTTTTAAGAGGCTTTGTATGCAGTATTAGCTAAATTGCTATGGTACCCTGAGACTAATTTAATCTCCACTATTTGGACCGAGTAAAAGATTTATAGCTTTACAAGCTCAAGCATTGCAGAAGTTTTTCCTTTATCGGTGTTATTTTTTATGCATTTTCTGGATGCCTAACTATTAGGTCTCACCCATAAACTATTGGTCTATTGTTTATTAACTGTAAGAGGAAACAGGGCGTAATACTCAGGGTCTCGCACCGAGCTGAGCAATCGATTTATGCATTTCTTTTTAATTTGGCATCAAACTTTGAGATAGTATAGTAACCTAAAGTTGTATATATTTTGGTATTCTGTAATATCTTTTTTTGGTAATATCATTTTATTGGTTGAATTACTTCGTCATTATACCTGCAAATTCGCTTCTCTGGTTAGGATGAGAGATACACGGCCAGCTGAGGAACATGAAAGTGTCTACTCTGATATACAAGGATTTGCCCTTATATCCACTTCTTTTAGTGCTCTGAACGTTGAAACAGTGGCAGTAGATCCTAAATTATACGCTGATAGTCTTAAAGACGTTGAATGTCTCGCCAGTACCAACTAGACAGCCAGGTATTTGAGGGTGAAAATGTAATTCCTTCACATTTACCATGTAATGAACAAACAATAACTGGGGAGGAACGTCTAATAATCCTCCAGTATCCTTGCTTTCTTCATCATCAAGCTCAACCGCTAGATCCCACAAAGTGACTGTATCGTCCGCAGCTGCGACAGCTACAATACTATCATCTCTCGGATGCCACTCGATGCTAGTTATTGGAGATTTATGAAATTTGAAGCTGGCAACAGCCGAAGGTTTTGAGGACGTAGACGCAGTAGCTTTAGGCTTCCATTGACGAAGATCCCATACAGCCCACTCACCATTATCAGCTCCTGATGAAAGCAGATGAGATGTTTGATGGGACCAGGACATGACATTTACATCAGAATTGCTCACTTGCACACTTAAAGCTGCTGTCCTACTTTTGCTTCTCACATCCCAGACTTTTATGGTTCCATCGCTTGAAGCTGATGCAAAAACGTTGCGTTCAGAGGGGCTCCATTGGAGTTCTTCTATGCTACCAGTATGTCCAATAAGCGGTCTCGTATCTGTTGACCAGCCTTCTCCGCTCGATCTTGTCGTAACATAAATTTTGCCATCGTTATCTCCGGTTACAAGTTTGCCGGTAGAAACTAAAGGTGACCAATCAATCGCGTATCCTTCCGATTGGTGCATTCGAAGTGTGGACAGTGGTTTATTTTGCGAGGGGCTTATTATGATGCCTGGTGTATCAAAAGAAGTGAGATGAGGAGTTACATCATGAATAAGAATCTGAGAAGATTCGGTCATAGAAGCTGTGAGAGTAGTTGGAGGACGCGAAGAATCTGTGGCCGGAATTTGGTGCGCACGTATCCTGTTGGTAGCCGAACCTAAGTGAATTGAGCAAGACTCTAATATAGGATCTGCATCTTCATCTTCATTGTCTGATTCTTCCTCGTCATCTTGATTTTTATCCATTCTACTAAGGCCACTGAATTTCATCACTAATAGCTGATTTTCGTTCTCTCGATTTTGTGCTGCTTGAGTCCCTGCAACAGCATACATTGTAGCAGGATAAGTTTTACGATCGCTGCCTAAGTTGTCCTTAATAAGATCGAAAGAGAGGCAAGGCCAAGGTGTGCTCAATGAGTGCAACATTTCATAAGTAGAAAGATCGGGCGATAACGTTTGGCCAGGTTCCAATTTGTTTCTTCCGACTATGAAGGCTGGTTGATTGATGCTCATCATTCCTGACTGTATCATTAATAAAACTAAAGCAAAGCCTCCCTGTGGGCAGACTTTAAGTACGGTCTCACTCACCATCCTTTTCTTCGGCTTCTCTCTCTGAATCGGGTCTTCCGTCTACTCCGGCTTCCATAATCTCATCTTCACTTTCGTATTCATCTTCATACTCATCTTCGAATTCCCCGACTTCGTCGACTGTAATATCATTTTCAGGTCTATCCCCGGCCTTCAAAGGTTCTCCTGAGTTACCTGGGTTCTCAGCGGCTCTCTTCGCCATTATTTAGAGGTCTTGGGTAGAAGGGTCGATTGAAGAAATTAAGTGTGTCTGTTGACGCTTGAAAAACGATGATTAGCCGAAATATTTTCAACCGAGCAAACCAAGTCTTGGCGCTTTACACTTCGTGAGCCATTGTTTATCAACCCTAGCGATTAGTGTTGAGTTTAGCAACGGCAATCAATAATTCATTTTCCACAAATATCGAATGTAGCAGGAAGAATGTTGTATGAGCTAATTGCAGTAGTCAGTTATCCCTGTGATTAATTCTTCAATTTCTTCTAATTTTCATGAAGGTTCGGGCAGGAAATCTATCTTGGGTCAAGGAGTACGTTGTTTTTAAGTTCTTTCCTCAATTTTTCATCACTCCTAACAATCGATAGGATAGCTCGTACTGCTGGATCTCTTGTTGTGAGGAACGGCGGAACAATTCGTGGGATTAAAAACTGGGGCGTGTTCAGTTTACCTAGAAAGACTCGCAAGCACCAATCTATGTATACGGAAGGTCATTATTTCATCATGAGGTACGATTCCTCTATCAGAATACAGGAGGAGATTCGGAACACATTAGGTCTGGATCCCCGAATGATCAAATTCAGCTCAATTAAATTGGGGGACGGGACGCTGGAAAAGTCAAGTAAAATTGGCGGCATGATCCCATGGTTGCAGAGAGAAAAATTTTAGATGAATCAGTGAGTTACATTTTACTCTAAATATTTGTTTACTTGCACGATAATGCAACGTGTTACTGCGTGCCTGAATTTGCAAATTAATTTTTCCCTAACTTAGATCTATAGTTGTACTATTCATCCGGGGATATAAATAGGTCTTACTTCATAAATTCACCGTCCTTACCACAATTATCAACCCGTGACACCCAATCTAGATCCTAACGCCATTCACGACCAAAGAATCATTCTGCTATGCTTGATATGCTAATCAGTTTCCATGACTGAAGTTTGCAGCTTAGGTTTTACGTAGGCAACAAAATCATCGATAACGCCAGGCCATGCTCCATCTTCGCTCCAGAAGCTTAAACTTTCATCTTGCATGCTCTTTTGGAAGAATTCAAGTGTCTGGTTCCACATATCTTTGTTGACTGTTTTAGTCCAATTTTCTTGAAGAAAATCTGTCCACAGCTGCAACCAGTCTACTGATTCAGATGCCCATCGCTTTCCAGGAGGATTGAACAGTAATGTCCAATATATGATGGCATTTTCGAGGGGAATCGCTTTCTGAGAAATTTCCTTTGAAGCAAAAAACGCGTGCCTGTATACTCTCTTAAAAAGAGAATCATCTGTTGACATTTTTTTGATCTGACTGGCCACAAACTTTTTTTGCTTTGATAACTGATCATTTCTACATTTTTGTTAAGTTCACATTCAGTATGAAAAAGGACGAGACTTGCCCTGTTGCTCCCCAGCCGTCTACAAAGCCACTTTTGGTGATTTCACCCAAGCCAGGTGCTTTTACTATCTCTAGAGGTATAAATATTTCAGCAGTTGCAAGGTCAACGCCTAAATCTCCGAGGTAACGCATTACACCATCAACACCCAATTTATCTTTTTCATCTTTAGATTCTACAGCGATGTTAACAAAGAAATTTGTTGGAAGCTGAAAGGAATAACTTACCGTGATATTGTTCGAAAAGGTTAGAGAGAGAGTTCTTTTGCGAAGGTGTTCCGCTAGTCGCGCTTGTAAAATAGCTATCGGAAAAAGTAGTTATCAGCGTAGGTCTCAAAATAGTAACTAAACATATAGTAGAGAAATTTCTCGGACTGTGTGTTTATAAGAGGTGTGAGCATGAAATCGGAAGTCATTTTTATGATTTGATGTAAAGCTTTTCATGTGTCGAATAGTCTTTTCCTAACTTTTAGGAAGAACGGAGGTCTTGATCAATCTGTAATGATCTTAACCTCACCTATTGCATGGTAAGCCCTCGTGTATCTAAAGGATGTGAACTTTCACTAGGTCTCTTTAATACAAATATAGCTTCTTAAGTGAGACATGATCACTCGATTCCGATTTTTAAATTACTCTGTTGTATTTTTAAAAATTATGTGTTTAAAACGTTAGCGAACATGAGGCCGAGTAGAGGAGGCAATTATCATCACGTATGTGAAATTCGTTTGACAAGAATTGTAAAAAAGATGGACGTACTTATCGACAGCTACATCTTTTTGCCAAGCTGCAGCTTTTAAGAACTACCTTTCGTTAGCGTATTCGAAGTTTTCTAAAACCTGATAACGTTTGGCTTTTTTGTTTACCTTTTGTGCCAACTTTTCAGGAGCTCCCGTCAGATCACAGAACTCAGAAATCAGGGCCTTTTGTGAGGATTTGGAAGACATGACTAGTACTTTGGGCTGCGGCGCCTAGTAAACCATCCGCCATGTGATGAGTTTGATTGAAGGCCTCTGGAACTAAGCCAAGGCCTGATTGCCTGTTCACTAAATATTGCCTGAGGTTTAAAGAAAGTGATTTATTCCATTCCTTTTTTTGAATTGTTTGCGTATGCCGACTTCAGCGACCTGCCCTCGACATAACATTTAAATCACATTGTATAAACTAATTTTGATTATTTGTGTTTGTTGTCTTACCAAGTCTCTGTCTTCACAAAGACATTTAGTTTCTTTCTGCCTACATGTCAAGATTATCTAGGTCTCGGGAAGTTGACTCCCTCCTTTGCCTTCGTCACGGCTTCTTCCCAGTGGTGATACCCCAGCAGTTCTTCAAATTATTATACAGTTAAAGAATCCACCGTCCATTCAATATCTTCTTTATTCCCATCCTCTCCTGGCTTCTGCAGCAGGACAACCGAAGTTCGTGAAAGGATGCTAGAAAATCCTTGGTCGAGAGTGGCTTCCGCGAAGTAGCCTAGCCTGGCACCCAAAAATCGTTACGTGAATGGGGTTGTCGAGTAATTCACGTATTATAAAAGCTCTTCTGGCTAGCAGATTCGGAATTGTAGGTTAGATAAGACTATGTTGTTGACAAATCGAAATATAATTTTTTTGAGGGCGAAAGGGTCTTTTACTTTGCTTTCGTGGGCTTAGTGTTCGTCCATTGGTTGGTATCATTTATTGTGATACGACGAGGGCTTCTCTGACAACAGTTGTTGCGTTTGTATCACAGTATCTTTCCTCTTTCTCAACGACATCATCATCGTCTTGGTCGTCTTATGAATTGTCGGAAGCTTATCTACTACGCAGGGGGTGATGAATTAGTTCAAATTTGAAAATATGCTAAAAATCTCGGCTCTGCAGACTCGACAGTGAAGACTGGAGGTTTGTAGGGGATACCACTGACAGGTGTTGAGAATTCGTCCCCCTATTGCTCACAGCTCCTTGCAGCTAGCTGCTAATTGAATCAATGTATGAAAGTTTGTTCGTGAAGGGCACAAGCCTAGCACTCATAGAGCATGACACTGAGAAGGCTGCTCCTTACTTGACGACTATATACGGCGTTAACTTATTTTGATATTTGGACCACTCATTTAGAGGGTGCATTTGCTGATATCACTCGAGACCTTGATGCTAGGGACTTTCATCCTTCCCTCCACCGTTAATATCCACCAAAGGGAAAACAGGAAAAACCCTTGGCTACCCTAACATGCCTTTGCCAACTTGTATATAGCCGTCGCGCGAGAAATGGCCTCACAGTCTTCCCTTTCTCGAGTGAGGTACGTGTCCAGGTTACCCAGACTTTAATTCGGGGAGATGACGACCAGGAGGCCGACAAAAACACCTTCCATCGTTGCTTAATTTTAGAGTGTCGGTCGCACTATCCAAAATCGTTGCTTCTGCACCCACAGACACACTTAAGTCGAAAACATTCGAAAAATGTGCGTTCGAGAATGCCTATTTGTGACCTCTTCACCCGTTCGTACCACGTCCCAGCTGCCTGTCCTCTCTCAAGATGTGAAGCCCCATTAGAACAAGGTCCGAGCTTTGTAAATTATGACTTGAATTCCTTCTCGCAGGTATACATAGCATCGTAACTTTATGTTGAGAGATGGCCAATTTTTGACGAGGCAAATGCTCCATTGCAATTGGAGTAACGCCATTATAGGTATTTGTTAGAAAATATACTCTGCACAATAATATATGAATAAATATGATGAAGTAAAGAAGACTTGATATTTTACAACCATGGGAACATTGGACTTATATATACATCTTAGGGGAGAAATCCCCTATAGTCTCATGTGCCTGTCAAACCTAGTGATGACCAGCCACCTCTCATCTACCATGATGAGCCAAGATACACTGTACTACGTAAATATCCAAAGGTATATGCAATAGTAGGCGCGATTAGCGCACTCGTGACATGTTGAGGTTTCCGAGCGCGCGTTGTATACTTAGTAAATGGCGTTGTCAAATTGGAGCGTAGGCATTTGACCTGAAGCGGAATAGAAGGGCGAGAAGAGGTCGGATGGATCGCGGGGGATGACTAAAGATCTAACGGAGATAATTTGGAGAACTAAAGGTTTAAAAATGGGAAATATAAGTGTCTAATGCGTCTAAAAGTACTAGCAAATACCAGTGGTGACTAAAGGTGCTAAAGGTAACTAGAGGTGACTATAGATGACTAGAGGTGATCCGAAGGTGGGGATTGTGACAGAAGACTAAGCGTGAAGAACTCAATAGCTACAGACCAAGCCATCGGAGGGAAAGACTGAACACCTGTCAGTGGTGCTCTCTACGAACCTGGGAGCGAAATATTCTCCCAGAGCCAAATTCAGTCAAATTTCGCAATACCGAACAAGTTGGCCCACGAGGCAATGATTCAAACTACTCCACCACGTCAAATTTTCACTCCCAACGAGTCCGAATCCTATCCAAGCCTCATCAAGTTTACAAGTACGACCTAGTACATCCTTATTCCAATGACCACACCTCTCGTCGACTTGCTCTGGCCTCAGCCGGTCACCAAATACACGCCCACGCCGATATTTATACCCGACGGAGGACACAAAGCGTGGCGCACAAATCTGGGAGACTGTTCTTTGGAATTGGCGTGAGAGTATTGAGGAAAAGTTAACAAGTTGATGCAAAGGATAGATACAGTCTCAACGGGCGTGGAATTTTGAATTTTGGCATAGAGTTTTTACAAATTGAACTTTGTGCGTGCCAAGACTTCGGCTGCGAGAGTGCAGGCGACACTATAAAAACTGCCATGGTTGGATGGTGCGGTGGTACATCGTCTGGGCTGGTCTGGGCTGGTCTGCCAAGTAGAGTCTGGATAGTTTGGACACATATCCCACTCGAGACAGTAGATCGCTGGTTCAAATCAGGCAAAACACAACCACATTTCTCGCGGCGCTGGTATGCATGGATGACGAAGGCATGCTTGGATAAACAAAGGTTTTGAAATTCCCTTTGGTGGGTACTTACGGAGGAGGGTTGACTGTTTGTGTAAGCAAGCATACCTCATAGTGGTATTTGCGAATGAAATCCAGAGTATGAGTGTCTCTAACGTCAAAAGAGTCATCCAATATGTAAACATAGCACTGGTCATGTGTCATAGCTCTATAGCTGAATACACATTAAATGATTTAAAAAAAAAAAAAAAAGACGAAGCCATCATACATATACTTGCTTTCCTCCCACTAGCTCATCATAACATAGGCCCTAAACTAGTACCAACATAATAACCAGTGCCAAGAACTATTCTGTTGTCATAGC